ATGATTCCTCTCTTCTTAAATTGCAAGAGTTTTTGCAAACTATCTTCCAAAGAGGTGATACTACTGACACATTCTCAGGATAGAAGAGTGCCCACAATTTGAAATTCTTGCCATTAGTCGATACTATCTTTTTTCAAATTTGGCCAATGTAACATATATCAATTAATATCTCATTGTGTGTTTATTCGAACACCTTTGATTATTAATGATTTAATGAGTATTGATTAGTTATGAGTATAATTAAATATAAAATGAGCATTATTAATAATAACGAGCATTAATACCAAGTATCTCATACATTTATTTATTGATCATTTCATTTTCTGTGAATGATCTATGCAAATTGTTGCCCATTTTTCTAGTGCACTGTCATAACTAATTCAGCACTTCTAGTTAGTTTAATTGACACAACACACATATATAGTGAATATTAAGCCACTATTAACAATATACTACAAACATCTTTTCCAAATCTGTAGATTGTCTTAACTTTTAAAAAGAGTAATTAATTTAACATACACACACACACACACACACACACACACACATATCACTGTTCTTCATTTTGTACATTTTTTCATCTCAGTTGTGATTCCCATGTACTTCCCACCATCAATTCACCCGTGTGTCATCACCATAGTCCCAGTGTTATTTTAACACAATCTTTACTTTTTGTGTAGTCATATGTACAATATATTCTTTAATTGCTTTTGTTATTCTAAATTTTAAGAAATCCTTTTCTACCTATAGTCATAAAGGTTATTTCCCACATCCAAAAATTAAGATTTTGTCTCTCAAATTTTCACTTTAATCTATCTGAAAATGACTTCTGTGGTTGCATTGAGGTGAGGAACACACACACACAAACACCCATGTCACATCACACCACACCTACACATCCATCCACACACACCCTAAGACCTTTCACTCACTCCCCCCACACCCTCAGTGCCATTTACTGACACATTTCTGTTAGTCCTAATTCCCTGAATCACTTCATATGTTATATGACAAGTTATCACAAACTCCAGAAATTGTAGTTCTGGGTCTGTTTTCTATCCCCTTTCCCTACCTAATCCTTGTTTATTTGGGAGAATATAGTCAAGCATAGCCACAACTTAACTCTTTCCACTCAATTTTTAACCTTTTACGTGGTACCTTAAAATATGTGCATTTTAAACACTTGAACTGTGCATTCTAGGTTTTAACTATTCTCTCTATAAAACATTTAAATGTAAGTTCCTTAGAGGAGAGAGGCTATGTTACATGAAAGTTTCTGTACATAAGTACTCAGGTACTCAAGGAGTTCTTAATTGATGTAGAAAAAAATTGCTTAAGCACTTCAGTTTATTATGTAGATGGTAATAAAAACTAGACAAACATGTAAGTATGTCACATTGCTACCACTAATACACAAATACGACACTAAGTATGGTCTTGCTTATTTGTCTACCCCATTTCTTGCAGGCTATATCAATCTAAATAGGGAATCACAACCTCAGAGGACTCAGGGCAGAAAGGTAGCAATTATTGTGGGAGACTGCAGGGATTTGTAGAAATTTTGGGCAACCAGAAAATGCCTAACTAAAGTCATGCAATTCAACAGACAAAAGCCCTATGTTTGCTAAGTAAAAAAAAAAAAAAAAATGATGTTCCATTGGATTAAGTTTGAGATCTCTAGTCATCTAAATGCATGCTACAGAGGGAAAGACTAACCTAACCTCACAAAAATTGTAGAACTTAAATGTATCCCTGGGCATATTTTCTCATATGTACTGCTTTCAATAACATGCAATTATTAGTTTATTCTAGTAAGAATTTATTTCCACCAGATGTCCTGTTCATCTCCACTACAGCCTTGGCTAAGATGTTTAAAATTTATGCCCTTTTCTGCTAAATGGGGACAATAATAACTCACTTTATAGAGTGAACATCAAATGAGTTAATGATTAATGTGTGATATACTCAGGACAAACTCTAATATTGAGTGATCACTTGATTATCACTGTTATTGTCATCATTTAGAATATATTAAGAAATATTTAGAACATATTTAACTTGTTTCTAGTCATTTTTTTAGATTTCAAAAAGTATCTTAGGTCAGTATTGATAAAACTTAGAGTTTACATCAAATTTTGTTATTCACTCTGAGAAAAAACCAGAAAATGCATTTTGTTTTTCAAATTTGACTAGTCAAAAAGCTTTCCCTAAATGTCATATTTAATGGGTTTGCTAAACATCTATACTTCAATGGAAGTTTCATTATTTGTCTCCTGGAGGTAGAAATTCTGAGCTAAGCATATCTTTAAAATGTTAAAGAAGTAAACAAATTAATGAATTAAAATGAAAGTCTTCAAGGTTTTAAACATATTTATATTAGCAATCATGGATGCATCCTGACAACTGAGTTCTTAGAATTAATTAAAAGAAATGAAAGCTATCAAATCTTGAGTGAGACAAGTGGTCCTTCAGACACAAATTAATCAGGGTTTTAATCTCTCCTTACAGCTTTGACCCCAATCTTTACCTATTAAATCTTTTAATAATATCTTTCATTAGAGAACTTGGCCATGTTTACAGAGATGTACAAATGAACACTAGCCATATCGAAAATGATGAGTCCAAATAAAAGTCTACAGACTTGCAGTGAAAGTGCCCAAAAGGTATCATATAGATTTCTCAAAAATTATCTGGAGTTCCTGGTTCAGAAAAGCTCAGTTGTTGTTGTTGTAATGTACTGGAAATGAAAAGTGGTACATTTCAAAGCTCATCAGACAATAGCAATATAAAACATATTTCAAATTTTCTTATACTGATAGCCTCTCAAAGAGAACGGCATATGTATTCGGACACAATTCAGGCATTCTGCTACATTTCTAAGCAGTAACAGTAACAGCTGTCTAACACCAAAATAATCCAGTTCAACCAGGCAGATTAGGGAAGAAACACCTCCTGGAAAGAAAACAAATCTCTTTCTGTATCTCCAATTATCTATGCAAAGAGTTGGACTGTATTGAGTGTTTAGAATTCCTTATCATTTTCACCACTGTGCAATGATTAGGCCTAAGGCAATTAAAAAGAAATGTGTTAACAAAAAGATCAGCAATCAGTTTAGTTCTACTTATGTTCATGAAAGATTAGCTACTACAAAAACCACTCTTATCATGCCAACTGAAAAATAGAAAATATGTGCAAATTTTCAGATGTGATCTTGAAGAGAAAGAAATTAGGTAAACCTCAGTAACTACTTGAAGCAAATTTCTAAGCCCTTAGTAGTGCAAGAAGGTCACCTGAAGAGTTTGGAAGTCATCTGTATTGAAGTAAAGAGGGAGTGTGGTAAGGCTGAGGGGCAAGAATATGTAGAGCAAAGTTAAACAGAGGAGAAAGCTGTACAAAGGTATGGTGAGGTATTCAAAGGAAGTAACAGCTTTCAATTAATGATTTCTAGGTAGATACAGTGGACATTATCCAATGAATGAAAAAGAACCACCAAAAAGAAGTGGAAAGTACTCCTAGCTCATACTGGGCTAGGAATTGTCAGTAAGAATGGAAAGATTTGAAATATATCAGGCCATTGAAAGTGGCTAAAGAAGAGTAACCTCTTCTTTATAAATGGGACTTAATAAACCCCAGGTTAATATGCTCTAGACCTAACACAAAAAGTAAAGAGTAGTTTCTAAAAGATTCAGTTAGTTTGAGAGTTACTAATATGCACAACTGGGTAAAATACATTTTTCTTTAAGAGAATATACCTAAATCCAGTCTTAAAAGATGGAAAAAATTGTAATTTCTGATACAAGGAAAAAGTATAGCTTATAGTAAGCAGAAAAATTAATACAAATATGCTCAAGGATATAATAGTAGGAAGGGAAAACAAATTTACACTGCAGAAATAAAAAAGAGTAAACTTAAAGATATAGCAATAAAATTATTAAAGTACTGAAAAAAAAAGAGTTAAAAAGTGAATAGTCTCAGTGAATCTTTTGTGCAGTATCAAGTGGCCTAAAATATGGGAAACTGAAGTCCTAGGAAGAGGAGTGGGTGTTATAGAAATAACAGCTAAACAAATTTCCAAAATTGGTAAAAGATATAAACTGAAGAATGCAGAAACTTCAACAAACACTATAAAAGAAAAAAAAAACCAAATATTAAAACACCTCATAATAAACCTGTTGAAAAATGATAAAAGAAAAACTTTTAAAATGTTGGGGGGGGGTAGCCACATTGTGTACAGAGGAACAAAAATAAGAAATATAAAAGACTTTTTATATGAAATTATATAGGCCAGAGAACACAAGAACAACATTCTAAAATAACTGGGGAAAAAATGCCTAAGAATTCTGTAAGTAGTAAGCAGTCCTAAAAATTAAATGTAATACAGATTTTTTTAAAAAAAAAACCAATAAAACACAAGGATATTTCTTTTCAGTAAATAAATATAAGATATATTGAAGGATGTCAGTAAGTAGGAAGAAAAATGACTTTCCTTAGACCTGTGCTTGGATTTCAACTCCTCACCATCACCCAAACCATTTTGCCTCTGGGACTTAACACAACTGACAACTGTATGTATTATAAACTCAACCTTTCCATCAACCACTAAAATTGAAAACAGGGACTTGCCTATTCTATTCACTCGACAGTTTGTTTTTTCCCTATTCCATTATTTTTGATGCCTGTCATAATTATTTATTCACATTAAGAATACTCAAAATTATTTGCTCACACTAAGAATAAATAAAGGCTAGAAATGAATAAATAAAGTCTGAACACTTCCATCTTGAAAATCAGGTACTACAATGGACTTCAAACTTAGAGGTTTATCAAACTTCAACAACAGTCATCTAAATATATTTCTTCATCCTTGACTTAACTTCAGATAAAGTCACTTTATACTTTAAGGCTAAAGATGAAATTAAAATAGAAAACCATTCTTACTCTTCTTTCCATCCATATCTGCATGGATTTTCCGAGCCAAGAATCCGCTCTTGTACACGGCAGCATTTGGATCATGAGGAATGTCCAAGAATGGGTTGGTAGTACTCCCAATACGACTGATGGTCTTTGGATGTGTTCCATTAGCCTTCTCATCAGTACCTTCTGATGGAGACTTTTTTTTCTCTTCATCATCTCTAAAGGGAGAAAACACAAAGTCTGAGCACCAATCACAATAGTTATTTAGTGTAACTACCTACCTTGTTTGTTAATCATATCTTGATAACAATAACTCTGTAAGGGATTTTTTTTTAAATAAATGTCTCCCATGTATCAAGCATTAATACACAAAATAAGGCTTCAGAATTAAATAAATACCTGTGTAAAAAAAAACAAACCTGTGGCCACAGGTTAAAGGAATGTTATTTAAAGGAAGAGATAGTAAAGACATTACCGTGAAATCCTTAAAGCGCCTGCTCTTTGTACCCACTACAAAGTTTTTATGACTGTCTTTCAAACAAGTGGGAGTCCTTTGGCAAAGGCTCATGATTTTGATTTTTTATTATTTCTGCAGAATCTAACATAATGCCAAGAATACAGAATACAGTAACCAGGTTAATCTCTAATATTAAAATCCCAGTTAAAACTACCCCTGGGTTAGGATGGTGATGCCATGCACAGTGTTTTGGCATCTTCCAACTACTAAAAAGTATGGGGCACCCTATCAGTCTCTGAGAAAGAGTAATTGCCCAGACCCTTTTTATTCCCTGTTCCCTCAGAGGCAAATTTACAGGGCAAATTTAACTAAAATTACAACATAAAATATAAAGCAGGAAGAAAATGTATAGCCATATCCAGTTAATAAAGAGGACAGAAGAACAGAGGAAAGTTAATAAGCTCTGATTTAGTCCTGGAAAACACAATAATAAAAGCATTTGTTGTAGCTGACCTATTTTAATTTCCTATCACTGCTGGTTTGTTTATTAAAATTTGATTATTGAATCTTATTAAAACTTCAACAAAGATAATCACCACCAAAATATATTTAAAACAAATTACAAAACTGACAATCATCAGAAGATTTTGTTGATCAGAGAAAAACACCTTTTTTCTCCTCCATTGGTATTTGATAAGCGATTGTGAAATATATGAAAATAGCACTAGACTCTTAGTCATCTACATTTTACTTTTATGATAATTTTAGACCCACAAAGATAGTACACAGAGTTCCCATATGCCCATCATCCAGTTTCCCCTGATGTTAACATCTTATATAACCATAGCAAAAAAATTCAAAATGAAGAAAACAGTGCAGTACTACAAATTAAACTACTCAGATTTCACCAATGTGATAAATTTGCAGGTGATATCCTGCAAATTTCTATACTGTAAAATTATTATTTTCCTTTGAAAATAATTCAGGGAAGATATTTTATAACCATGCAAATGTCTTGTTTCTCCTTAAACTTATGGCATGAATTTTAGTGTTCATCAGTGGATTTAATCTTTGACAACTGTTACTATGATAATTTATGGGAAACTTTTTCATAATTTCTTCTGTATTTAAATGGAATTCTAAGTATGCACTTACAGATATTTATTTTATGCTTTGAATATAATCAAATTATTATTGACATTTCTCCAAAATTTCTAGCTTTGGTATTGGGAGTTGTATCCAATACACTCCTCTGTCGTTTCAACACAACTTATCCTTTTGCTTTGTAAGTATTTCTTTCCTTCAGGAATCAGATGTTTCAGAGCTTATCTTGTATTGTCCTTTCTTCAGCCCTGGAAGCAACCATTTCTCAAAATGCATGTATTACTGCATTACTGTTAATGTTACTGGGAATGGTGTTTAGACAAAACCTAAGGGCTAGGTGTGCTTTTCTTGTCTACAATATATTTATTTGTTCAAATCTAGTAAACAAGCAGACTAATTTCAGAATTTCTGCCCAACCTTCCCATGTGAGAAATTTATTTTCTAGAGTGACTTAACTCATGCAGTTAAAACACCCTTTTCCACAGTTGCTCAGTTCCTTTCGTCTTCACTCTGTTCACAATACTTCATTTAGATAATAATTAAAGTCTATATTCTCTTGTGCATTCCCGCCCCCATGTGCTGGCTGACTTTTGGTTAAAAAAAAAAAAAAAAAAAGGTTCTCATTGATGTGTACAGTTCTGTAGGATTAGCTAGGGCAGAGCTACCACAACAAATAGAACAATCACCTCTAATTTCCTTCCTGCTGCCCATTTAACATCAGTTCTTCTCCTGTACCAATTCCTGGCACATACTGACCTGCCTTCTATCCTGACAGTTTCCCTTCTTCAGAGTTGCATATAAGTGATTTTTAAAAATATATGGTTCACAGAAATTAATGTGGTGGAGAGTAGTATCATAATTTGATACTATATCAAATCATATAAAATCATTAAAAAATCATAAAAAATATCTGCATAGAATCTGTCTGGAAGAAGGAAAAAACTGACAAGGCAGCATCTGGGGAATTAGTGGATGGCTAAAGTCAGAATAGGAAAGGGGTTTGTTTTTTACCATTTAGTCTTCATTTAAAAAAAAATACACATAAGGTGCATATATTGATGATTCCTAAAAGTAATGAGTCAAAACCAGCAACTGAAAAAATAAGTATTTATTATCTAAAATAAATGAGTAATTGGTTTCTTTTCCTTGGAAAATAAAAGATTCACTCATATCATGCAAATAGTTTGTTACTTTTTATTGCTGACTTATGCCATTTTATGGATATAGCAATTTACTTACCCATTTGCCTCCCCTAGTTTTATTAAGGTACAATTATATATTGTAAAATATTTAAAATATATATACATTGTGAAAAAATTCCCGCCATCAAGTTAATAACCCATTACTGCCTTTTACTGGCATGTGATAGCATTTAGGTTCTATGTTCTTAGCAAATTTCATTTATACAAAGCACTGTTATCAACTGTAGCCACATGTTATACATCAGACCTTCAGATCAAATTAATCTTATAACTGAGAGTTTGTACCTTTTTATTAACCTCATCCTATTTGCCCTTTACCCCCCCTTCAGGCTGACAAGCCCTTTTCTGTTTCTATGAGATAAACATTAAGAAAAAAAATTCACATATATATGATACTTTGTGGATTTGTCTTTTTCTGTCTAATTTACTTAACATAATGCCCTCTGTTTAACCATGTTGTTGAAAATATAGGATTTCTGTTTTACAAAGTTGCATAATATTCAATTGTCCATACCACATCTTTATTCATTCATCTGTAAACAGAGTTGTTTCCACACATTGGCAGTTGCTAATGAATGTGCTGCTATGAATATGGCAGAAAATTACTTGCAATAATGATTTTGTTTCCATTGGCTATCTACCAGAAATGAAATTGCTAATCATATAGTAGTTCTATTTTTAATTTCTTGAAGAACCTCTATACTGTTTTCCATAGTGGTACTAACTAGTTTACAGTCTCATCAACAGTGCAGCATTGCCAAGATTTTTTTCTTGTCTTTTGGATAAGACATTTTAATTGGTGTCAGGTGTTCTCTGTGGTTTCCGTTTGCCATTTCATAAACTTGTTGGTCATCAGTCTCTTTGGAAAAATGCCTGGTTTAGGTGACCTGAATTCTTTTCTGTTGAGTTATAGGAATTCTTTATATTGGCTACAAACCCTGGTTTGTAAATATTTTCTCCTATTTCATAGGTTGCTCCTTAATTTTGTTGGTTTTCCTTGTTTTGCAGTCAAGACCCATGTGAAGGAGCTATTTCCCTATGTGTACTGTTTTGTTTTCCCAAGGGATTTTATGGTTTCCATGCCATTTCCTCCTTTTAACCTGGCTAGAACTTCCCTTACCATGTTGAATAAAGTGATAAGTGAGCATTTTTGTCTTCACCCTGCTTGTACAGGACACATTTCCAGTATTTTACTATTGCATATAGTGTTAGCTGTGACTTGTCACAGATGAGCTATGTGATGCTGATGTATGTTCCCTTCTTCCCAGTTTGTTCAGAGATTTTTTTTTATTTTAGTGTTCAGAGATTTTTATCATAAAAGTTGTTGAACTTTTTCAAATGTTTTTTTCTGCATATATTGAGATGATCATATGATTTTTATACTTCATTTTTTAATATCACATATCATATTTAACAATTTGCAGATGTTGAACTATCTTTGCATTCCCAGAATATATCGTAATTGATCATTTTGTATGATCTTTTACTGTATTGCTGAATTCAGGTCGCTAAAGATATTTTGTATCTCTGTTCATCAGGGATATTGGCCTAAGATTTTCTTTTCTTACAGAATCTTTGTCTAATTTTGGTAGGAAGGTAATGCTGCTCATAATGAGAGCATTACCTTCAATTTTTTTGTGAGAGTTAGTGAAGGATAGAAGTAAATCTTCATATATTTGGTAGATCTCATCAGTGAAATAATCTGGTCTTTGATTTTTGCCGGGAAGTTTTCGATTATTAATATAATCTTTATTAGAATTTTGTCTGTTCAGCTTTTGTATTTTTTCATGATTCAGACTTCATAATTAATATGTTTCTGAGAGCTTATCCCTTTTCCTCTCATTTGTCCAATTTACTGATGTATAGTAATATTATAATCCTTTGCATTTCTGGGTGTCAGTTGTAAGGGCTTACCTTTCATTTCTAAATGTATTTGTCTTTTTTTTCAATATTACATCTATATAATTGGTTATCTATTTTTATATTTTTCAAAAGGTGAGTGTGGTATTGTAATATACATATGAAAAGTTGGGATCCTATATTTTTAAATAATATATAGTATTGTTAACCAATAATATATAAAAATAAAAAAAAAAAACCCTAGCTCTTTGTTTCTCTGACCTTTTCTATTGTCTTCTTAAAATATTTCATTTATTTCTACTCTGCTCTTTGTTATATTCCCTTTTTCTTCCAACCTTGGGTTTGGTTTGTTTTCCTCATGGTCTAAAACCAGGTTGTTCACTTACTAAAGTTTCTTAATGATAAATTTGTTAAAGTAAGCACTGATTGCTAAAAAGAACCTTATCAGAACTGATTTTTATGCATACTGTGCTCTGGTATGTTGTACTATATATTTTCACTTGTCTCAGGATATTGTTTAATTTCTCTTTTGAAAGAAATCTGGGTTGTTTCTAATTTTTATGTTTTGTTTTTATGATGAAAATTGTGCTTGCAA